CACACCAGTGTGGCTGCTCCTGAGCCTGGAGTGGCTGCACAGTGCTGGGATAGGGCTGGGAAACCTTCTGGGGGGATGTCATGGTGCCCATGGTGGGGATTCTCTAGTCTTTAGTGGGAGACACCCCGGTACCTACAATGGGGATGCTCCAGTGCCCAGAGTGGAGATTCCCTGGCCCCATTGTTGGGACACCCCAGCCCTTGATGTGGGGACGTACCAGTCCCCAGTATGAGGATACTCTGGTGTGGGGACATACCAGTTCCCAGTATGAGGATAGTCTGGTTGCTGGTATAGGAAAGTCCCAGTCCCCAGTGTGGTGACATGCCACTCTCTAGTGTGGGGACAGGCCAGTCCACAGTGGGCACCCTCGTGCCCAGCACAGAGATTAGTCAGTCTCTGACTCAAGGATCCTTGGACCCCAGCGTGGGGATACCATCATCCTCGAGGTAGGGATACTCTGGTCCCTTGCTTGGGGAAGCCAGGGGGTGTTTTTCCCCCCCAGTATGGGTACACATCCATGTGGCATCCCTGCATCCCCCCACCAGCCCCCTGAACCCAGCCAGGGCTGCCTCCTACCCAAAATCTCTCCCAGCTGCCTCTGGCTCCAGGGGCAGCCAGGGAGGTGACAGCAGTTGGGGCTTGGTGGCCACAGTGGTGACATTCTCCTCTTCCCCACAGGCCCCTACTGTCCTGCTGACAGTGTCTGTCACACCAGGAGCCGATGCCTGCAGTCGGTCACCGGTGCTCGTCCTCCTCTGCGCCCGCTGCTTTGCCAACATCACCTCCCGGTGCCCACACCTGCTCATCCACACCGTGAGTGCCACACCCCCCACCAGGAGCAATCCCAGGGGGCAGCAGGGCTGGGGCCATCCATGGAGATGTTTAAGGGAGATTTGTGTCCCTCCCATCCCCAGACATGATGCTTGTGGTGCCCCAGGGAGGAGGGGACGCTCCTGGCCACTCCCGGCACTGAGCACAGGGCTGGCCAGGCAGGGAATGACGCACAGGGCTGGAAAAAGCTCCCGTTTCCTCTGGCCGGTGAGAGGAAGGTCAGGGATGGGGTTTGGCTCCAGTGAGCTGAGCCGGGGTCGGGCGCTTTGTTAGCAAAATAAACCTCCTGCTTTGTTTGTGGCTAATAATAAAGTGGGCCGAACCCTCCGCGTGCCGCCGGCCACTCTTGCCACTCCCAGCCCATGTCCCTGAAAACCCCCACTCATCCAGGGTGACCCCCAGCTCAGGCTCCAGGGATGCTCACCTGGTTTAGTTTCACACTTGCATCCTTCACTCTGAGGGGAAAGGTTTTCCTCGCTTTCACCATGCCAGCCCACGCCAGGGAGGGATGAGCCTTGCCCCCCAGCCTGGCTCAGGCTGCCTCTTGGCCCACAGGATGCCCACCTCATCTCAGGGACCACTGCAGAGCCACCCAAGGCCTCTAGCGAGGAGGAGCTGCTGAACTGGGCTCAGTCTACCTACGGGGGCATCACATCCTACAGCGAGCTGCGGGATCCCCGCTGGGTGCAGCTCCGCCTGGGAGAAGGTGCGTGGGGCTGGGGTCTGGCCCTGAGGGTCTGGCACTGGGGGTCTGGAGAGATATTCCTGCTCCGGAAGGCTGACAACACCCCCGAGATGCCATGGGGACTGATGACCCTGAGCATCTCCCCACCCACTGAGCCTGATTTGGCTTTGTTGATCCCCCCATCTACACAGATGCCAGCAGCCCCCCAAACTGCATCCCCCAGAACCACTTCAATGCCATGCTGCACCTTGAGACTGAGGTCTTCTTCCACGGGGTGAAGAGCTGCTCGCATGGGGACACCCAGAGCACCAGGGCTGCTCACATCATCCATCTGCAGCCAGAGCCCAGGTACTGCAGTGCCAGCAATGGGACCCCAGGGGTGGGATATGCTTGGAGATGCTTGGGAAGATGTTGGAGTCTTTCAAAGGCAAAGCCCCACATCTCAAGTTGGATATGGGACTCCTTGGTGTGGAATGCTGATGCTGAGAGGAGGCTCTCGTGGTTTTGCAGCTCCCTGATCACAGAAGTGAACCTGTCCCTCAGCTGTCCCGAGAATCACGTCAGCAACCAGATCCTCATCCTGCAGAGCAGGGCCAACTTGACCTGGTCTCTCTCCTTCAAGAAGTGCAACATCCAGGTCATGGTAGGCTGACTGGGACATGTATTCCCCCACAACAGGTCTGCCAGGGACCCAGGAGATGCCAGTGGCATGGGCAGGGTGGCAGGAGGGCACTTGGGGACATTAGACACGGGGAGATGGCAGCGTCCCTCCTGCAACCCTTCCTAACAAGAACAAACCCAGAAGCTGTCCCATCCCCATTTAGCCCTTCTGTGCTGCCCCTCTTCCCACTGTAGGCCTCTGGGAACTACAAGATCATGACCATCTTTCCGACGCTGTTGCCTGGGGAGCTCCTGCCTGACACGGAGCAGGACCTCATCGCTAAAGCCTTCGAGAAGAACTACAGCACCATCGCCTCCTACTCCGCCATCCCCGCCACCACCCGCATCAGCATGGAGATCCAGGAGAACAGTGAGGCCCCCAGAGCACCAGGGCTGGGCAGGGTGGGGAGTGCCACCACCCCCACTCAGCACCCCATCTCCCTGTCCTGCAGAGGCGGCCAAGAAGGTGACTGAGATGATCACCCCCATGACCCGCCTGACCCCCACTCCTGAATTGCAGCCCCACCAGCTGCTGCTCCTGCTCAAGCCCTGGACGTGCACAGATGAAACCATGGAGATCACCATCATCAAGTCCCACCTGAAGGTGACAGGGAAGGAGGGGGGAGGTCCCAATGTCCACCAACAACACATTTTCCTCCCGGTGCTCGGGATGGGTGGCACAGGGCTGTCCCCAGCCAGTGGGTGACCACCACGTGTTTTTTCCCCAGGTCATCAAGGACTTGGACATCAAGGACATCACACTGAGGGACATCAACTGCCAGGCAGAGAAAAATGCCACCCACTTCATGTTGAAAAGCCCCCTCAGCCACTGTGGCACCTTGCTAGGGGGCAGGGGCTATGCCAACAATGAGGTGAGGAGGGCCCAGCTGGGGGTGCTGTCCCCAGTCCCTCTGATGCCCCATGAAGGCTTCAGTGATGACTGGTGGGGCTTCCCCATGAGGACCCCCTTGCTTTTGCATGGCTGGAAACATCCATGAGATGGAAGAGGGGTGTGGGTGGGGCTCCCACTCCATTCTGTTCCATCCCATCCTATGGTGGGACTATCTCATCCCATCTCATCTTATCTCACCTCATCCCATCCCATCCCATGGTGGGACCCTCCCATGCCATCCCATCCCATCCAAGAGGGACAATACACCCTGGCAGTGAGGATCACTTGGCTGACCCAACCTTCCTGCCCTTCTCGCAGCTCCTCATCAAGCTGTCCAAGGGCACAGAACTCCAGGACATACGGGTAAGAGCCGGATTTCCCAGTGTGCCCGAGGGTGGGAGAAGGGCACTGATGCCACTGCTGGCTGGGTGCTGGGTGTGCTGCATGTCGGGAATGGCCTCAGCACTGTCCCCTCTTGCAGGTGGCCTTCCAGTGCGAGATCCCACGGGAGCTCTTCCTGCGCCTCTTCCCCACCGCTGCCTTCGAGGTGCCACAGACAGAGCTGGAGGTCAACAAGGAGGCTTTCCTGCAGGTACTGCCGCCGTCCTGGTGCCCAGGCTGGGGGAGTCTAACTGCCCCTGGGCCAGTGACCCTGACTGATGGTGTGCCCCTATTCCCCTCTACCCACGGCAGGCGTCCATGATGTGGGACGACC